CTGTTACGGGCATGTGCCAAAACAAGATGGAAAGAAAGGGCCAAAAGCCCACCCTGCTCAGTTTTCTGTGCCAAAAAATGCACTAATGGACTCTCTCTCTTAGGAGCTTTGCTTATAGCTAATCAGTTTGGAGGGAACTCTAAAAGAACTGATGACCCTTGACAAGAATTGAGATTAAGGGGCCGAATGTGGCATCGAGGTTTGATACAAATGATTTTCAAAACCTCTTGGAATGCTAAAACACTGAAAACCTGTATGAAAAGCAGTATCACTGATACAGGTAAAAATTTGCGTGATTGCTATGCCTGTTTGAAATCTTTTCATCCCAGCTTTTTCCTCTGAAGAAATATTTTACAGTGTACCTGTTTTCATTTAAAAGCTGTAATGGAAAAAATATTTTTCTTTAATATGGCATATATAAGATTGCTTCAGCTGAAATCTTCAGAAGTTATGTTTTAGTGACATAAAAGTGGCTGGCTTTATAAAAGAAATATTCAAGAAAATTACAGTCCTCTGCCATAAAAAAAATTCTTGCACTAAACTGAATCAGTAGTCACACTGATGTACATCAGGAGATTTAATAGCCTTGCTGAGCAGAAGAGGTTATCAAATCTCTGAAGAAGAATAAGCACATTGGCCACTAGTCTCAATTCAATTTGTTATGAATCTAATTGGTTCCAAATAAATTTATACTATAACCTATTTATATGTCAGTTTATTTTTACTACTGTATTATACAGAAAGTAGTACTGTCAGTGGAAAAGAAAGGGCTTCTTTCCGTATTTCCCATGCATTTTGTTCTGTAACCAGAGAATTCAAGGACTTGAAATTTGGTTTGGTATCAAGAAACAGCTGAATAAAATTGTTCAGGTATTTGTTATATTGTAATTTTTGCTGAGTACTGATTTTATGGAGAATGACAGATGCATCTGCTTAATTAAGCAGAAGTATTAAACAGAACTTTGTTTTTGAATGTTGATATTTATATTTTATGGATGGTATTGGGTTTAAGGTACCCAAACCCTAAGAAATTTAAAAAGAAAACAATTTTTTTTCCTAATTTCATCCAAGCTTGTCTCACATTTGATACTTTTTATGGTTCTATGATCTCTCTCTCATTATCCTTTAAAAGATAGTCTCTTTAGGCTAATATTTTAACCATATCTCATAATGCCTTTTTAATATTGCTCAGGCTTCATTCCAGAGCTATAGAGCTCTCAGGTCTTTTTTTTTCGCATCTTTTTCATTCTTACTGGAATGCTGTTCCACAGCCTCTTTCCTGTGGTGGTTAGAAACATTTCTATTAATTTGCAGCCTCCATTTATTCATGGCGAGGGTTTTCTCAGTTGTTCTTGTGACAACATTCTCATTGTATTTAAATAGCTCTTCATCTTTTCTTTAACTCGCTCTGTTTAAGCCTCAGATGTATGTTGAGATATTAGTTGTTTCCTAAGGTTGGGGTTTTTTTAGGCTAAAAGCCAAGTTCTGCTTGTCTCTTGAAATAGGCTTTCATTCTATAGGTCATCCTGATAGCCTTGCTCTGCTGTGAATCAGTCTTCTGTGGAAATAACTGAGCAAGTTATACCCCGTGCACTAGATGAGGGCTCACAGGGTTTAACATCTTTAGTACTAGCTAGCTCTGCGCGACCTGCTTGGCCCAGTGCATCCTTTCTTGTTACTTCAACACATTAATGACTTGTAGTTGTCCTGTGGTTGCCAGTATTTGCAAGTCTTTCTTTCCTTCTGCTACTCAGAAGGGAATTTTTTCATTGCTCCTGTTTGAAGGGAAGACAGTTCGCCTTGTGCATTTTAAGTAAATCCCTTCTCCATGTCTCAAGGTGTCCAGCTCCCCTTCTATCCAGATCCCCCTCTGCACCGATAGTGCCTATGGGCTTTGGGTCATTAGCGCACTTCATTGCCATGGGTCTGCTTTGTTGTGGCAAGAACATTATTCCTATTGGCGTTTCCCTTTGTCATTAATCAGCTGTAGCAAGAGCCTTCCTTGGGGCTGTGCTTCTCCCTTCTTCGCAAACCACTGTCATCTCCCCCTTGGCCAATTATCTAATTACAATCCTATCCTGTTATTTTCTTCTATCGTATTTATTGCTCTAGAGCTACAGGTAGGTGAGATTTACAGCACTTTCTTTATCTAGAAAGTCATGTATCTTGAAATAGCTCTTTGCAGGAATGAAATCATTGTATTGTGGAGCAAGTATGTTGGTAAGTTGTTTTTCCTTCTGACCGTCCACTTAATTTCTTTCATTTCTTGTATGAATGTCACCGTAGTGTGGTGTGTAGCAAAAGCCACTTGAAGAACCTGTTGTTTCCGCATGCAGTTCATTTGCAGCGTACCTGTTACAACTGTCAGGCTGTTAATATTAATTGGAAAGTACAGTAACTTGGGTAGAAAACAAGTCTTAATCTTCATTCTGCTGTTCAAATGAACATGGAGCAATTTGTGTTCCTCCTTACTGAATTCTGCCGCTCTTTGCATAGAGGGAGGCTGAAGTGATGGCGATGCAGAAAGGGGCCCGATTAGAGATGCCAAGCTCAGCTTTCACTTTGAAGTCCAATTACCTCGTTTTTCTGTCTCTCTTGGGGTGAACAGTTTCACTGCAGGGTTTCCTGTTTTCCTTGTGCTCACCGCTGATTTTAGCAGCTGAGTAGTGGCAAGAGTACACGACGGAGCAGCGGCAGATAATTTGTGGGCACGCTATCGACTCCTCATCCTCCCCTTGTTGTGGAAGCCCAGGTCCAGGTCCCTCGCGGATGGCACAGACCAAAATGTGTAGGTCAGTGCCTGCCCTATAGCTCAAAGCAGTTCTTGGTGGCTTTGTTCAGCTGCATTGCTGTCAGGTGTGCCACTGCTGGCGTAAAGAAATATTCTATAGGGACGTAACCCCTCCTGCTCACTTCAGAAACCCAATAACGTCCTTTAACTTTTTTCTCTTGTGATCCGCTCTGGAAGTTTAAACACTGTATGATACAATTTAGAACTGCTCTAGTGCATCATTAGCATCAGCTCAGTGTGCTGTTCAGCATCGTCTTAAATCCATAGCTGATTTGTGCTTCTGTCACACCAGTACGTACCTAGGTGAAATATATAGACTAAAAGAAACTCATAGTATTCAGCACGTCATGCCATATTTTTGAAAAGTGTTCAAAAAGCATGTCCTTCATAAAAATTAGAGCGAGGGTGAGGAAGAAGAATGTTAAAGTGAATGTGTTAAGCCTGTGAAATAAAGCAGGTAAACAATGTATTGCAAGATAAATCACATAACCCAGTATTGTTGTCTATGACAAATGCAATATAATTGGAATTATTTTGACTTATGAGAAAGGTTAATTAACCCATGGTTCTTCAGTTCTGGATCATATACTAATAGAGTTTCACCATGATTGTTGTTTTCTGTCACTTTGTGGTTGGGGCCATCTCCAGGCAGAAAGATCAGGGTTTGAAGGCCCACTCAGGGTTTAAAGAGGGCCTTGAGCCCAGGCCTCCTGTGCTGCGGTCTCTAACTACTAAGAAAGATGATAAAAAAAGGGCAGGTGATTGGGTGTGTTTTTGAATGAATGTTTGAAATTCTTGCTTGGGGTTTCTGTGCTGTGAGTATGTGTTATTTTGTGCCTTGAGCATGCCTGCTGGACTCATTTTGCATAGGTTGGATGCAGTATGACTGATTCTGGCATTGCAGACAGGCTTTGGTGTGAGCTGGGAGGCTTTACTTTACTTTTTAGTTTTTACTTTAAAAACTGAAGTGCCTGTGGACTCTTGGGTACCTAAACAGAAATCTCAGGTTTGAACTTCAAACGTTTAGGTACCTCTGCTATTTTGGGACCAAGGCTCTGAGCAGCTCTGCAGTGTTTTGTACATGCAACCCAAATTTGATAAGCAACATTCCCACTCGTCTTCTGTGTGCTGTATGTGAGTAGTGACACTGCCGTGGTTGTCTGTTCAGCCTTGTTTGACTAAGCACTGTTTGCTGCTGGAAGCGCTTCCCTACAAGCACGTCCCCAGGAGCAGAAGTACATAGTAACAAGTGTGATGCTGTGACTTAGAGTAAAGTAGTAGTCAGCACCGCAACGGAATCACCATTTTGAATTCCAGTTCTCCTTAGAAATCAATTCAAGCCTGTTTTCAAAGATCCTGGTCAATATGGACGAGGATCATCTTCTGCATCTCTGTCTACTTCTGTATGACTTCAGCCAGACTGTTGTATCTCTCCTTTCCCATCTTGTATGTTCTTAAAATGCCAGCCTAGCTTCATCCCTGGTGCAATGGAGAAAGCCCCTGAAAAGTCTCACAAGCCTTTGGTCAATCAACTTTAACTCTTTCCTATAGATTTTGCTTAAAAAATATAAAATGACAGATAGGATTAAAAACTCTACTTTTGCCAGGAGCAGGTGGTTCTGGAGATCCCTCCAATTCATGCTTTGTGAGTGATGTTTATCAGGTAAATGTAAGATCTGATTTAAAAAAATTATCTTGTAAACTTGTGGAAGTTTACAGCCGTTGCCATGCTCATCAGACCCTGTGTTTAGAGGGAGCAGCATTTTAACCACTTGTGTGTCCAGGAGGAATATCAGACATTGTAAACTGTCAGAGATGTTTCTTTGTAACTTTGGTGCTTTAGATTTTGAAGGTTTGTATCCTTTATGGATTTCCTTTAACCTATTAAATGTGATGGGTGTTGTATATGCTAGTCCTGAACTCAACCCCTAAAGACTTAACTCTGTATTAGCAGCCTCAGCACTGAGGTTAAAATTTTTACATGGAATAAATCCAAACTGTTAGTGTACAAAATACATCACTGATGTAATTTGCTATAAAAGTAGTGTTTTTCAGATGCACAACTGTTCTGTGATCATAAGCCCATATATTGAAGTGCCTAAATACTCTACTAGGAACCAAACTGATCATAGGTGAAAAATCAGCATCATCTCAGAGAGCAAGCTTTGCTTTTCCAGCCTTCTGAGTCTTGCCTTTTCTCTTCCTGCAGCTTGTGGATGTGACCTGGCTCAAGGAGGATTTTTTGTGAGACAGGGAGACTACATCTGTACTTTGGACTACCAGAGACTCTATGGCACACGGTGCTTCAGTTGTGATGAATTCATTGAGGGAGAAGTGGTCTCAGCACTGGGCAAAACCTATCACCCAGACTGTTTTGTGTGTGCTGTCTGCAGGTATGTTTTCTACATGAAGTTGTGTCTCATTTAAAAACTAAATTTTGAAAGACCAATGCCAAGCATTCAAACTTACAGCCTATAGATGGAAAAAAAAAAAAGTTCTGTTTTCTATTATCCACTTCTTAAAGTGTAACAGAATTTAAAAAAAAATGCAAATTCATAGTGCCTCTTTTTTTCCCAAATGCTTTTTCTGTTTTATGCTATCTCATGTGTGAGGTTTTCAAAGTGCTTGAGAAACTGCCAGTGCCTCTACTGTCAGGCCTTTTGCCCCAAATGTTGCTTTATTTCCCCGGTGTCTGCTAATTTGTCTTTTGTTGGCTGAAGTTACAAAGGATTCCAATGCCAGTGGCTGAGTCTTTGATGAGCTGAGTGGATACTGTATTAATAGATTTAAATGGAAGTTTCAAAGCGCTGCTTCCAAGAAACTCCAATATTAATTTAAAATAGGACAGAAGGGTCGTGGACTCGCAAACACTTAACGTACGTGTTGGATGTCACCGAGGATCTCCAGCAGCCATGGAGGTGACAAGTGACACAGCACACAAGGTTGTCCCCCGCTACAGCCCAGTGTAGTTCAGTGAGATCATTTCCCGCGTGGGTACGTGCAATGTTGCGACCCAGTGTTGGTGGGGATGTTTGCAGACTGCAGTAAAACAGATTGATGTCTGTTTGACCTCCATCTTAATCCTCTTCTGTGGAAATAAACAAGTCTGTTGAAGACTTCAGGAAGAAACTTTTAAGTCCACCAAACCTTCAGGAAATGCACTGTTACAGCAGTTCGGAGCAAATGGAAATGCTGTAATAATTTCTCTGGCTAAACCTGAGCCTGTAGCACTACAAGAAAAGTAACCCCACGTTCAAAGGGAAAGCACAACGGGGCACTGATGCACCACGTTGTAAATGCTGTATGTGCTGGTGCCTCTGGCCGTCTGCCAGCCCAGTCTGCCCGGCTCGTAGGGCTGCCGAGCTCAGATGTCCTCCTGTGCTGATGCAGAAGAAGGACTTCAAATTCCAGAACAGCCGTGGTTCATGGCAGGATCTTGATTTAATATATCAATTGCAGGAGTAATTAATTAGCCATGTTAAGGGGAAGACTCTGAGACTGACAAGTCTTTATTATATTAAATTCTGTCTGTTCAAGTTTTGCTATATTTAATAGGAGATTTTTTCCTTTTGGATACTATAAACAAACATGAAGAGTAAAGGTAACAAAAAAGCCTAACATCTTTTTTTTTTTTTTAAATAGGAGGAAAAATTATTTAATTGGGTAATTATGGATTTCATGAGTGAACTGCTGGCTGTACATGCTCTTGGCCTGCAGCCTGTCAGCATTACAGCTCTTCCGCAGATAAGCACAGCTAATTCTTGGTACCTTTCTTCTTAGCACTAGTACCATCTATAAAGTGAGGTACTTCTTCAAGAGAAAAAGAAAAACTGGTTGATACAGTTTTCCTGCTAAATGTGTTTGTATCCTCAGCCACGCCATTAGGGTTTATCGTTCAGGCATAAATGATTTACCTGTGTGTTACCGTACTTAGCAGCTTGGTATCTAACCTAGGTTGCAGTCAGGCTGTTGGATATACTAACGTCCTGCTGTATTTAGTAAGTCCTTCCACTGATAGTTTGGAGCTTGGCAGTACAATTTGTCTCGTCTCCCTGGAAATTCAGAATAATTTTCTGTATGACTAAACTACTTACTCTTAAGTACCTAACTATTCAGGCGAGCTGAATTGCAATACAGGGAAATACTACCTAGAACGTGATACAAATATCATGTGTATTGAAGACATGCTAAAGCTTTTAAAAATTAAGTTCCTGATACAACAGTGTTTCATATTAAAAAAAAAAAAAATCAGAGATGTTCCCTAACTTTCTGTATAACTAAATAGTTGGATTAAAAGTTATTTCACTGATGAAGTTTCTAATTGCTGCTATCTAAAACTTCAGTAGGAAGACCCGGATCTGCTTCTGTTGCTTTCCTTAGAAGGACACACAAATTCATGTTGTCTTCATCAGAGCCAATTAATGCCCTGCTGACTAGCAGGATTCAATTAGTATCTCCCAGGGGGGTTGTAACACTGACTTGTGGTGCAGAGCAACAGAAGAATCCTGTCATCTGTTTATAGTAAAAAAAAAAAAAAACTGGACAAGGTTCTCAACTGCTTTAAATCAGGATTGCTTCAATTACCCTACTCTCTGGAAGCCAGGCATGATTTATGGTTTTTTTTATGGAAAGAGTGTCCTATCTAAACATCATCAGCATTTATTTTATTGAGTGATATCCTCAGTAAAAGTAAGATGGGTAGACTGCAAATACATGTGGTTTAAGCAGAAAAAAACCCTTTCTTTTGTTTTGTTTAAAAAAAAATAAAGGGCGAAAAATTAGAGCCATTTGATTTGACGTACAGGATTATAAAGCACTCTACCTTGGCACTTTCTTTTGGTAGGAGTCAGGAGTACCAATTTTTGTTTTCATTTCTTCCAGATGGGCAGAAACCTTAAATAACAGGCCCAAAGTAGGTAGAGGTAGTTGGCTGATCACGCAAACTGCATCTGATGTTGCCTTTTACAGCTGGACTTCAGTGTGGGTGCTCTATTAGAAATCTGATTTCCAGAACGGTGTGAACTTGAGAGGTGATGACAGCCTGACAGTGGGGCTGATCCTGCTCTAATGGAAACCAAGCAAGGCTCTTACCAACTTCAGCAGGAAAACATTGGCAGCCGAAGGCGCTTTGCACTCGTGACACAGGTCTCCAGAGTGGTGCAGGATCATTAAGTGCTTCAAATGAGCACTTTTATAACCTGTATGTCTGTAGCTTTCAGGTAACGCTTTTTAAACTGTTCCTGCGTTGAATAGTAAACCAGTCACAGTAGCAATTCCCTTTTTTTCTTATTTTCAGAGAAGATAAGATTAGAATAGAAACTGGTGGGAAGTGTATATTGCTTCAGATGGTAAAATCAGTGAGAAAATCTAATGTGCATACAGCTAGCTGGGGCAGTGGGAAAAAGCTAGTAATGCAAACCCATTTGTTTTCTGGAGCTCGTGGTATTACTACTTTGGAACGCCACATGGCCCAGTGGCACAGAAAAGAGCTGTGTTCCCTGGTGCCCTCTGCACTGTGTTCATAAGCTGCTGCCCTCTTCTGTGAAAAAGCTTGTGTGTCAGAGACCCAACTCATCCCGGGGCGTGCATCCCTTGGGACTCAGATGCTATTGCCCAGGGCTGCCACAGGTCAACGTGTGAGAAAAATGAATTAGTATTCAGAGAAAAACTACTAAAAGTACAGCATAATGTATCGTCCCGGGTGATTGTTTCTCTCTATCTTGCATCGACCAGTTGGCTCCTAAACAAATTCAAGTTTTAACTGCATGTTTGCTCTGATGGCATAAAGAGTGAGGGTTTGGCCCCCTCTTCTTCAAGCGCGGTTTATAGTCCAGTGAAATGGTTTTCTGCTGTTGTGTTTCATGATGATAATGCCTAAACCTAGGAATGAGTAGAAGAATAACAACATAGATTGAAAAATGTTGCAGATTAACTGCTTACTCTGAATTCCCAGGAAGTGGGTGAGCAGTCCTACAGCTTCATTAATTGGAAGGGGCTGTGTCCTCCAGAGGGCTGCCAAAGACATTTTCTCCAAAAGGTTCACATGTTTGTAGAAGTGAAATAGAAAGAGGGAGAAAAGTAAGGCTATCTGTATCAATAGAAGCTGAGTTTTATTAAAACCATGCATGCAGCTCTTACATGGGTGTCAGAGGCAGGACTGCATGGCTCCCAGGAATATCTTACGCAGGATGGGAAGGGGGAGGAAATGGAGTCTTTCAAAAAGCAATGGGCAATCATACCTGTGATAATACTTTTGAAAATGGAATTTTCGGGAGAAGTCTTAGTGTGATAATAAGTTAGATAAATGTATTAATACATCTGTGCAGAGCATCCATACATAAGATGTATGGTCTGCATAAGGCTGTGCTATACATAGACTCTGTATTTGATTTCAGTGTTACTGATGTGCTGTGTGTGCATAGGGTATCACAAAATCTGGGTTTTAGTTTTAAGCGTTAATGTAATTGGTAAAGTTGGGGATGTTGTTTATTCACCCAGTTGGAGGAATGTATATAATAGTTATCCCTTTAATTTCAGTATTCTTTTAATTAAAGGTTGGAAAAATATAGCTTTTTGTGCCAAGTAAATGATAGAAAGAGGACAATTTAACTCTTACTTAGCTGGGGGGATAAATTAGTGTGTATGTGCCAGGTTAGTAACCAAACAGGTACATGTTTGCTTTACAGAATTTGGATATCTAAGTTCAGTATTTTGTCTGAATTTAGGAAGCTTTGTCTTGAAACAGCATATTGACAGAAGGTATGTGCCATGCAGAGATGAATAATGTGTGGAGGGTCAAAAGGCAGTTACATATTCTTCAAGGGGTTTTGTGCCAGATGCAGATCTAAAACTTCTCTCAATCCATTTGTATTTCTGTTATCTTCAATAAGGTAATTCACTGTGGCCAGGCAGTTAAATATAAAAATTCAGAAAACTAAAAACTTTTTTTTTTTAAACAAAGAGTTTTATAGTCCTACATACAATACTGCTGTTTCTAGAAAGAAGCTGAGGGCTTTTGTGTATGTAGTCTTGAGAAATTAAGACAATACTGAAAATAAGAAGTTAAAATTCAGTTTGTTCTGGAACATAGAAATTATGTCAGACTTTCTGAATATGCTAAACCTTTTTAATTGCTCACTTTTTTTAGTGCTGCTGAATTTTGAAAGAGTTTGGTTCCCACTCAGGCAGTACTGGGTACTTCTTAAAGCATCTCATGATGCAGGCTTCTTCATCTGGATGTTGAGGCCAAAGTTTTGAAATCAGACTGAGTGTTGTTCTTGGCATTTTGATTCTAAACCAAATACATTTATCGATATATGGTGCTTCCTGAACAAAGGACTCTTGCTATGCTGCTCTTCAGGTTTACGCATGGAGCGTACCTGTTGCCCTAGAGTCATGTAAGATGGAAGGGATCTGTGGAGGTCCAGTGGTCCAGCCCCTGGCTCAGGGCAAGTCCAGTTCGAGCAGGTTGCTGAGGTCATTGGCCCATCACATTTTAAATATCTCCAAGGATGGAGATCCCGCAGACTTTCTGGACAGCCTGTTCCAGCATTTGAGCATGGTCATGGTAGGGTTTTCTTTCCTCTTTATAGTGAGTCGGCATTTCCCATGTTCCAGCTGATGTCTGCTGCCTCTAGTTCTTTCACTCTGTACCTCTGGCCAGAGCCTGGCTCCAACTTCATATACACATCATCAGGTAGTTTTAGACAGCAATAAGATCTCCCCTGAGCATTTTAAGGCTGAACCAGTCCATCTCCTTCAGCCCCTGCTCATGCGTTCTGTGCTGCAGCTCTGGACCTAGCCACCTCCACTGGACTCCCTCCAGTAAAAGGTGTCCTGAGGAGCCCAAAGTGGTACACACTGCTCCAGAGGCACTCTCTCAAATGATGAACAGAGGGAAAGATCATTTCCCTGGAACTGCTGACTACACTAATGCAGCCCAGTGTGCTGTTGGCCTTCTTTGCCGCAGGGACACTCTGCTGACTCATGTTCAACTTGGTGTCCACCAGGACCCCACGTCTTGTTATGCTTTCCAGCTGATTGACCCCTGAGTTGTACTGGTGCATGGGGTTATTCTTCCCTGGGTGCAGGACTTAGCATTTGCCCTTGTTGATACTTGTGAAGGCAGTAGATAGCAAGTAATGTCCACTTTGTCTCATCAGGTTTAACAGTCTGGGTCAAATTCATCTCTATGGAGCACATCCTGAGGGATGTGATTGTACCAGGTACAAACCAGAGCAGAATTTGATCCTCTAGGTCCTTAAGTTACAGTCTGACATTACACTTGACCCAGTGTAACTGCAGTCTGCTACTGAAATGAATAGCTTTGCTCTCCCCACAGCCCTGACCATATGCTTCTGTTAATTTTCTTACATCAAATTTAGTTGACTGTTCAGCCACAGAGTCAGATCAGACCTTTCTGTGTCAGCACACAGTTACCGTGGATTAGGCTGATGATGGTGTGATGTTTTACAATATAATTTTGTTGGTGTGCTCCAGTCATTTCTGGGTTTACAAATATTGTAGGCAGGTGTATGAAACAAAATTCATTGGGAAATGAATCATGGAAGATATATTAAAATCCTACAAGTCATTTCAGAGAGCTGCTTTAAAGATGCTCTTAATTCTCATTTTAAAAATAGATTATCCAACTGTGAAAATCACACCGAATATTTTTAAAAGGATAAGTAGCTAATTAAAACCCATACCTAGCAATGTTCAGTGGGTTACTGGTGGTAAGATGTCATTGTATTTGAAGGCAGATATGCTGCTCTTAACCTACAATGCTATATATAGTCCTGCTCACAAGTTAAAGAGCTCAGAAACTGAAACCTTGTTAATTGACTGTTACCACCTTCTGTTGCGCCTTCACTTGTACCGGCGCCTTGAGCAGGGCTGCTTGTGAAAGGGAGAGGTCAGATGTTACAGAAATACTGGCGAATGTGTTGTGTACGAAATCTGGATTCCCAATGAACAAGATAGTGAAGCAAACTCTTGAGACTTAATTACGGGTTTAGGAGACCAATGAGGGAAGGCAATGTCTGCATGTACCTTTGGGCGGATAACTTCCAAGGAGGATTTATCTGTTTTTTTTAGAGCAAGGTGTCTTGCAGATGTGGAAAACTTAATAGAGAAGTGAAATTGTTGCCCTGTCCTGTCCAAATGGAAGGGCACTGTGGTTAGTTACTAAACTCTTAGAAAATAAACCAAGATACGTTTATGGGCTAGGAAAGCCCCCACATGCCCTCCCCTCTAAGGAGGCTCTGTGGCATGCTGTGGTGCCTGTGAGCTTTGGCATGTTTTGTGGGATGTCACCTACCTGGCTCTGTCTTTCTGCCATAGGAGGTCAATTTTCCTATTCTTCTCTTCTAGTTTTAACTTACTTTCTTTTAAATTGTCTAATTGCCTAACGTAGATGAGCCAACTCAAGGTGGTCGGTTCCTGCTTCTAGTTTATTTGATGCTTGGTGCATCTGTTTGAGACGGGCTTCTGTGTTCAACTGGAAGTGCAGCTGAGTTTTTGTTAGGTAAATCACTGAGTCAAAAAAACATATTAACCTTCCCTCTGGCTACTGCTCCTAATATACTAGATACAAGAATGCTCAGTAGTCACGGTCATTCTTCAGAGTAGTGAATTGTTCATGGCTTCCAGTACATCACCATCTCCAGGATTATTAATGGTGCAAAGCCTGCTGTTTTACTGAGGCATCTCATGGGAGTTCAGCTGCGTCATTAGCTGAGTCCCAGTCTTGGTCCCCATAAAGACTATGGCAAAACATGCTTGATGGTACTATCCTGCTCAGGGCATGCAACTGTGCATAAGAATGAAGGATGTCAGGGTAGTTGTACAACAGTGCAGTTTTGTGATTGTGTCTGTGGAGCAGGTTGCCATCTTTGTAGGGGTTTAATCTGAAGCAGATTACCAGTGGTCATAATAAGTCTATGCATAGCTGTAAATCAAGATGAGTTGTCTTCCTAAAAACATGTAGGAGGTCGATTATAAATTCTTGACTCAGTTCTGAAACAGTTGAAATTCCTTGGCTTGTGCCTTTCCAGGGCAATCAATAGTGCTAAGTTCTAGACTTGATTTTGTAATATTTTGTTAAAATGAAAACACGCTTAAATGGTTTCTTTCACATTGTCAGTAGAGTACTAGGACAACATTTGAATTATATCACTCCATTTTTGAGACAGTTTTTGATAATTAGTCATTAATTTTTATTACCTACATAGAAGTGTATCAGATTTATTAATTTTTATTCAAATGTATATATGTTCATTTCAATAAACTTGTAGGTTGGACCAGATGACCTCCAGAGGTCCCTTCCAACCTCAACTGTTCTGTGATATTCATGAAACCCTTTTATTATTCCATATATTAGAAGGCTCTGTGACTTTAAGGAGTATAAAAGTCTGTTGCAAATAACAGTTAATGACCTAACCCCCCCTTTTTTTGTTTTTTATATACATAACACGGGAGCTTGCTGCTGCTGGATTGCTGCAAGACAGCACAGACTTGCTGCTCACTGGAGCAGTGTGGCTCCATCATATCCTGCCTGTTGTACTAGAGAGAGTGTTGGCTTCTTCTGATCAGGTTATTGAGTGAAATTGATGGTAGAAAATCCACTCTTGAACAGGTGGAAATTTAAGACTCCTGGAGCTGTACTAACATGGTGTTGGGCTGTTTGTACCAGAATCACACATGGAGCATTTAGTTGTGTCAAAGAGCAAGACAATTTTAAAGGCTATTTCCATAAAATATTTTTCCTTATCTTAACTTTAGGTAAGTAAGAAGGTAGCAAGTATTTGGCATATAAAGTCATTAGTAAAGGAAAAAACAAAAGATGAAAATCAGAATTCATTATCAGGTATCCAAAAATATAACAATATTTAAACTCTGTGTGTCCTCATGATTTTTGAAGTATTGCCTGTGGTCCAAAATGGATGACAGTGTTGAATGCTTATTTAGCTGGTTTAAAGTAGATGTTAGTAACATTATTTAGAAACAAAGGACAGCATTGCTTTTGTTCTTTTTTTAAGTAATAAAAATTTTCATTTAAATGCAACACAAATGTAGAATAAGCCACTCTTGAGTGCTTTAGCGAGCAAAATAATGTTTATGCTTAGCAAGAAGTATCTGTGTAGCTTTTGTAGTGAAGACAACCTCTCAATTGGTATGAATTTGATAGCGTTTGTGCGGTAATGTAATGCAGAGTTTTAATGAAATGTTAATGAAATAATCTGATCAGATGGACTTCACCATGAGGCAGAAGGCCTGTGTTGTTTGTGCCCCACTTAAACCATATTTTGATAGCTCTCTTGGGATTTGGTTGGACGTGAGCTTTGGGTGGAGTGAAATGTGTTTCTAAATCCTCACCATCCTTTGCTGCATTATGAAGTGATTTGTCCATCTGGTCGTCTTAGAGAAAAAACCTCAGCAGTTTCTGTGGCCAGAAAAAGCTCATGGTGGAAAGCTTTTTGTTTTAAGGACATTGATAAAAAGGAAGGATTTAATTAAATGTAAGGAGAGCTGTTGTTGAGTAGAGCAAACAAGTAATGTAGACGCTTTGGGTTTTATAACTGGGATAGGTGTTCTCCTATGAGAATTCACCAACATTTGCTTTCTGAACATACAGATTAAGAGAAGGACCTTGATATGATCAAAGCTGGGAGGACAAATGCTGGTTCTTTAATGTATAGAAGTCATCACTCTCATGCAGCATTTTAACAACATAAAAGCAGCTTCATTTGCCTGTACTTACTCCCTGTAATGCCAATTTTATTTTCATTCTGTAACTGATCCTGTTAGTGATCAACCCTTGCTGATACTACATTTCTTAGATACGCAAGGATTTGGACTTGTGCACTCAGTGTGGTTTTGTATCTTTAGCTATTATTTTTTTTCTAAGTAGCTGTAACATCTGCATTTGCAATTGTCTGTTTGATATGTCCCTTTGATACTTTAGCCTCCAAGTGGCTGAAAAATCATGAATGAGAACTGGGTAAGCAGAGAAACAGAAACCAGAGTAATAATCAGTTCCTTTATGGAAAGATATTTCATTTCGATAAAGGCGTGAGACTGTAACCTGTTTGCTTTTGTTTCCTCTGTTGTAGGCTGCCTTTCCCCGCGGGCGACCGGGTAACTTTTAACGGGAAGGAGTGCATCTGCCAGAAATGTTCCCTGCCCCCTTCCAGCAGCACCGGCTCTTTCCCTGTACAGAACCTGCGAAGTAAGTAGGGGTTTCTGCTCTTTTCTGTTGGTACTTCTTAGTCTGAGCAGGTTTAAAGACCAAAATTTTACACCAATATGTGTAACTGGAACTTCTACCACTATGCTGGATAAAAGGTGTCAAGAATACAATGTAGTCATGCGAAAAAAGTATTTGGTAGTTTTTTGAGAAAGTCTGATAGTAAAAATAAACACAAATGGTGCCACTGTAGGGTTAACAATACACAGAACCTCTCAAAACGTTTGATTAAAACTGGAGTAAATCAAATTACTTGGAGAAAGGTGAAATATAGATGTTAATATTTTTGAGGATTTAGTCCAACTCCAGCTAAAATAAAATCCAATGTGAGATTTAATAATTTGTGAGAGTTCCAGTATTGCTTCAGAAAATTTATCAGTGACAGGTCTGCACGGCTAAATACTATACAGGAAGGGTTGATGTATGCAATGTGACCAGAGGGACTTTTGCCTTGACCTCAGTACTATCATGTGCTATCAGAAGATACAAACACTGCAGAGAAGAAATGTGGTCTTTTCATACCACCTTTTTTGCAGCAGATCATAGAATGGCACTGTTGCTCTGAACTCTGTTCCTCTGCTGATTTGTTCAGGAGGAGCTGCCACGCTTTAAGAGCAACTGCTGCTTTTATGTAATTAAACCACAACAGCAATTCATTTAAACAGCAAAGGTAAAAATATTTTTAATGACTATCACATCGCAGCAAGCTGGATTTGGCGTGGTTGAGGAAGGACCCCATAGATTGGTCTCCTTTGTATATAAGGAATCCAGCCCACTTCAGGGAGGGATTTCTCCTTTTTTTTTCTTTTTTCTTTGTTTTTGCCCACATCTGTCTTTTTATAGAAGTTTTCACCATCTTCTTTCTCCAGGTTGTCAGCAAAGGCTGCTGTGTGAATGCAGTGAGATAAGCTATGTTGATTCCTCTCTTGCTAATGCCGTTCTCTTCTGGGGAGGGGATGGCCCTCTCTCTTAAGTGCTTTCTCTTGTCACTTGTTCCAGAGACGGATCATCCTCAGCTATGATGGCTGGCTGCATTTGCAGATCCATACTTTAATGGCCTATCATCTGTTTGTCTCCTTTTCATATGGGAAAAGTGGCTTTGACTTTAATGGAAATTATTTGCCTGGTTGAGTACTGACAGAACAAGTTCATTTGATTATCTGTGATACAGAATCCTTTAATATGCTTACATTCCCTTTCTCTGTACACACACACACCCCGTGGAGAGTTTTTCTTGCACTGCATTTCCCCAGCTCTCTCAGGTTGCTGCACCGAGGCTCCCCAGTGCACAGGTACCTGCAAACCTCAACAAACCAATTGCCTCAAAGGGAAGCAGCACTGGAAGCATATCCTTGTGCCAAAACCTGACCTTGGAAAACAAAAGTTTAGCTTTTCTCCAAATAAAATCTCAAACATACATATTTAAACCTCAAATACAGGTCTGCTTTAAATCTCATTAGAAATGGATGAAGTCTTTCCATAAGTTTCAGTGGAATTGGTTAAGAGTCTTGGTTCAAACTTGGATGATATCTGCCACACTGTAGACTGGACTTCTAAAGGAATTTGGTCTCATCTTCACCTGAGACTAGCCAGCTCTGCTTTTCAAACGATGTACTGAAGGGGGTGAGCTGATAGATACAATGACTTCTCAAAGGGCAAACTGAAGTCTGTGTCTGGCCTGCAAGTAAATTGTGCCATGATGTTGCCAGGATCCCAGATAAATATCATCCTTACCTGTGTAGGCTATATCCTTTCTTAACTCCTCGTTACTTCATTTCCTCAGTGTCTTGCAGTGCAGGTGCAGGCCAGGATCTTCTGATTTCATGGTGACATGCAGCACCCAGCTGAACTCCTGGGACTCAAGAAATTGGATAGCAATGGTATAATCCCTCCTTGGTGGGGGGAATAGAGCTTTGATGGGTCAATGGGAAGCACTGCAGCCACAAATAGATGGAGGTGCATGCATGAATGTGTTGCAGGATATGTAAGAGCCTGACAATACACAGGAAATTAACAAAATACCTAAAAAGATAATAAGGGATTTGGGAAACATTCAGATTAATACATGATATGTGAAAGAGCAATAGGTAATACCAGCTGTCTTCCAAGCACCTAATCCTTAGGCGAGACCCAGTGTTTCGGGAATAAACAAGCAGCGTCAGAGACACCTTGGTTGAACTGGAAAACTGAAATTCCAGAATGGCTGTCTGTAGCTATGCTACGTATTACACAAAGCAATAAATGGCATGTCTCCTTGTTTTAACAACAGTCTTCTTGGAAAAGACCTTAATGTTTTAAATGAACAATTCATTTATAAAAGAACAGTAGTGCACAAAAACATGTGACTTCAAGCAAGCTGAGTCAAGGACCAAGTAATATGTTGACGCAATGTTACGTTGGTTTTGCTCCTGGCTCAGAACTGCCTGATACGTACTATGTATGTTATTTGTCAGCCTATTTATCTCTGACTTGAGCTCAAGAATGTTTTCAGGAGTTGTCTCGGGACTCACTGAGCTCCCAACATCACTGTCCCTTCTGTCCAGTCTTTCTATTTTCATCCTCCCGCTTTGGTTTTGACCTCCTTTATGCGTTACATTTGGAAGAAATGAAGAATGTCAAATATTTGCCTTTTGCCAGAGTCCTTGATTTTTTTATTATTATATAAATACCTACCTACCTCTTCTGTTTCATTTATAAAACACTAGCTGTGAAAACCTCTTGTGGCAGTGTTGATGTTGAAACAGTACTCAGGGAAGAATATGAACATGTAGCAGCAAACTGATGTGTTCTGCAGAGTTATTGGTTGAAATTAGGTGAGTCACCAAAGGATGCTGCATCCAAGACAGGAAGACAAGGATGTCGCATCAGTAGGCACTGTTGTCCTAGCAACCACAATATTTGTTTTTAATTATCCAGAACTTAACAGAGGAGACAGCAGTTGGGAATAAAAAAGTAGCTCAGAAAATGCTGCGTTTCTGCCCACCCAAGCTTAAACCAGATGAAAGGCGAATGACATCTGAGCACACAGTGTTGTATTAAGTTTGTGAAATAAACCCTCAACCAGTGAGATTAAGTTAGATTACCAGATGAACCCAGGGGAGATCACAAACAAATCTGTGATTGCAGTTAAAGAATAGATACTGCAGAATACTGCAGTATTTATTCTCTTGTGGGACTAAATCCAGGCACACACCCAAATGTTCTCTTTTATTAGCAAAACTAAAATGTTCTGATCTGCGGTGCACACGTTTTTGTGCTGGGCTTATTTCCACATATTGGTGCTCTACAGGGTGACATTAGAGAGACATATTATTACTCCCTTAATCCCTTCCAAATCCACTGAAGGAAAGTAAGAACTATCCTTTATTGTTGTTGCGCTCAGAAATGAAACATTTACAGTTGCACTAACAGAGTGTCTCATTAGGGTCACGTAACCAACTAAATAGAATCTTAAATCAGAAAGTTTTTAAGAGGACTGTTTAAATCTTTTAATGAGAACCTGTGTTTGCAGTACTCTCTTAATAACTAGATAAATCTTTTTTTAATGCTTTTGTCTATCTTTCTCTTCCATGCAAGACATTGTTGTGGTTTTTTTCCTCTTCTGGCATCTCTAAATGCATCTTCAAGTGTCTTTCAGGGTTTGTCTTTTCTCATGTCTTCTAGCAATGTTAGGGCAATATTAGGGCAGCACCACTTGACATCCATCAGCCAGCAGCAATCTTTGGAGCCTGCACAAACTGTTACTAGGGCACTGATGGATGCTCGTACTGCAGTAACCAGTATTGTTGCGTGACCATCTAAAGCGTGTGATTCACTCATATTGGATTTTTCTCTTGCAGATTGTGGGGGCTGTGGTTCAGAAATAAAAAATGGGCAGTCATTGGTTGCCTTGGACAAACACTGGCATTTGGGCTGTTTTAAGTGCAATACATGCGGCAAGCTACTGAATGCAGAGTACATCAGCAAGTAAGTTGAGGAGCATTTTCACTCGTTTTCAGCATTCTTTTAATACCTAATAATTAATTTAGCATTGCATATCCTTTAGCTTTTGTTCATGTATCTTTGGAGATATATAAACGATGAGAGATTATTATCTGAATTATTATCTAAATTGTATTAAAAGCAGAAGAAATTCAGTGAAGAAGAGTAGAAGTCAAATTTGCCCATTTACCTGGAATGGGGCTTCACAGAGCAGCTATGTTATAGAAGGGCAATGGGTGGAGTATGCTTCAAAGCCCCATAAATACGCCTTTAGTTATCTGTGTTTGACTTTGCTCTATGTGATGCTGTAACGTGAACAAGCAGATAATATCCTTTCTATGTGTTTCACATAAGCAAAAATATTCTCAAAAAGTTCATTAAGGAGGTACATATTATGTTTTTGCACTGCTCCAGGCCGTCATGCTGTCAGATTTGGACTGAATGTGATGACAGCTATGAGAGGCAGCACAAAGCACACATGCAGACCAAGTCCCATGTCAACACTCTCATCAGTCCAGTGAGATACAGGGCTTTCACTGGCCAAAGCACTTGGGATTAATTTCTGCTTCAGAGAAGTGTGTTGATATGATGAAATTTTCCTAAACAGCTAAGTAACTCTTTCACCAGTGCCCAGAGATGATGGAGTTTCAGAGCCAGTGTCCCACTGACTTTCAACAATTCTTTGGATTTAGATTAATAACAAGTATAACATTTAATTTCACAGCTTGCTCTGGAGAAACAATATTTAATAAAAGGGTGTTCTTAAATAAGGTTTTGCATTATCTCAAGTTGCTGTATTTTGGTACAGTGCTTTTTTTTGCTTGTTATTTAATAATAAAAATCCCCATAAATTGTAAAGATATAGTTATTGTGAAATCCTCTTTTAAAAAAGCTAAATGCCAAGCAAAATAACTCAAGAGAAGAAAGATCCTCGCTTCAATTAATTCCATTAATTATTGTGATAACTTATAGGTTAGTCTCTAAGCAATCCAACTTGTATGCTATAAAATTAATTTTTATGTTTCTCCAGGGAAATGTCCAATAAAATCATGCCTCTGCTAATAAATCTGTCTGATCATGGGCTGTTTTAGCATAACACACTAAACATAGTTAACTATGTTTAACTTGCACTTTGAAACAGGAGAAGAGTCTCCAGTTTATTCCAGAGCAATTTGTTTTCATTCATCAGTTTAATAGTCTAAGTGTAGAACTTGGTAAAATTGTGATCCAAATGTAAAATTAACAAATAGGTTCATTTCAGAGCAATAGCCAAGTGTTCTGGTTCTGACTCTTTAGAATAAAAGCTAAGACTCATGTTTTTATTCTTCATGTTTTTAAATTGTACATTATCGTAAATCGCTTGTGGTGGTGAAATAACTGTTCACATCACGCATGAACGTACTGCAAGATCTCTTCTGCTGCTCAGGTTGAATTCTCATAGTCATTACTGGCTTCCATGGAACATGCTCCCAAGATGGTTAATTCATGACTGTCTTTAAGCAAGTCAAGTCAAGAATGTCAGTAGACTTAAATGTTAATCAAAACTTGGTTTATAGTCAAGATACTCAGTTTAGAAATTACTCTGTCCAGTCTAAGCTAAAAGATTAGATCATATATATATATATATTAGATGATAAGAGGGAAAGAATAATACGTAGAAGTAACTCTTTTTTCCAAAGAGGGGGAAACATGTGGAAGAAGTTAATGCGTAACACTATCAAAACAAGTGGCGTGAAGGTCTCAGAGGCTGAATGTTGTGACAAGGGGAGAGGCGATGGCTGAATTCAGTGACGAAGCGGAAAGTGGGATCATGGTCGACTCGGAAGGGCCAGAATAGTTCATTAACTATTCAGTTCTTTACAAAATGAATAAATACAAGTATTTGGGAGGTGGGAAATCCATAAACACCCTATGATGTGTTGAAACATTAACAAATTTTAGCTTTATAATCTCCCAGTAAGCCTGTAAACCTACGTAAAGCAGTCTCTGTATGGCTTGTTGTTCTTCCGTAGAGATGGTGTTCCATACTGCGAAATGGACTATCATGCAAAGTTTGGTATCAGATGTGACAATTGTGAGAAGTATATCACAGGAAGAGTGCTCGAGGTAAGGAGAACCTGTCATTCAAACACATCTCAAAGTGTACAAAGAGACTTGTTCTTTTGGGTGTAGTCATACGCTCACAACTGAGTGTTAATGCAACAGTTTAATGTTACTTATATGAAATGCTAAGAACTTTTTCTATAATTCTTGTTTCTTCTGTTAATGATTTGATAATACACACACTCCCTAAATAGGTATTTGTGGTACTGGAGAATGTTCAGGTAGCAGAAGTAATAAGTGAATGGGTTATTGGGCACATTTTAATACTTACACTAAATTCCTTTGTGATTTCAACCTTTTGATTCTGTTTTATGTTCCTCAGAGTTAGGATGAAGCTGTTGAAAAACTAAAATCAATAATTTGAAATGTATTTTTGCACCCAGAAAGGAGCTGTGTTGCAGGGATTTTTTTGAGTTTGTTGTTCTAAAAAGCAAGGAGGTTGTTTGGTGTAGGTGCATGTTTATGCTTTGCGCAAAGAGATTTCCACATAGCTGACCCAGGGTCAGAAATGAATATATTCCTTTGACGTGAATAGAATTTATCATTGCATCTAAGTGTATTGTTATCCTATCAATGTCGTCAATTATCGACTTTTTCCTTCTGCCTTTTCCCTGTATCTTGTGAAGCCTTAGCAGTACTGGAGTTAGGAGGAGGTCCCACAGGTTGCTCAGTTCACTCCTTTCTCTTCATCACTTAAGAAAGCCTGGAGAAGTCCCAAAGGACTTCCACCAGAGAAAGATCTGCTTGGAGTGGTACAAAGACTTAAATACCCTGATGGTGGACAATTATAGCTAGGTAAGAACTGAGAAGCAAGTGGAAGGAAACATAAGTCCCTACTAGGTGTTGTGATACGGTGTTAGGGTTAGGCATGGGAGGCTTTTCCATTGTCAAACGTTTTTACAGACATCTCAGAAAACAGACTTCTAACAAGGGATTTGAAAGAGTATAAAGACAGCTTACTCACTTTTTACAGACAGCTCTCTCAAGTGGGAGAAACAAAGCAGAAGAAAACATTAAAAAACCTTCAAAAATATAAGAGGTGACCAGTGGAAGCTGCTACATGTTTTCAGAGATGTCAGCCTTTGACACTGAATGAAAGGTAGTAAGAGGGGGTGGGCTTTGAAGAGGAAGCTAATGAACTTACATTTGATGTGATAAAGGAGAGGTGAATGTAGAGACAAGAGTGTCATGGTCAAAGCTATAGCAAATTTGGGGTGCACTTACTCATAGCAGGTTACAGGGAGTGATTAATACTAAGATGGGAGAACAGAAGCTTCAGTTTCTGTACTGACTCTTGGCTTCACAATATTGTGTTTTTCTGTCCTGGTTCTTGCCTTGAAATATCTGTACAAAAATACTCTTTTTATTTGGTGATATTTTACCTGCAGTATGGTTAAACAATAGCATGTGGTGTGATGTGATTAAGAACTGGGTCCTTACTGTCTCTGTGGATGATGAAAAGGAAAAAAAAAGTTTAAAAAATTTGCGTAGTAACAGTACTGAATTGGATTTGTGGGATGTGGGGGCATGTGTGACTGTATCTGTTTCTTCTAACTGCTTGGTGAGAGCGTACTGAACAGGAGGAGAGTTCCTTGTTTTTATTATAGAGGGACCAATAACAAACTTGAGAAAAGTTAATTCTTTAAAGCTGTTGTAGGAATTTTACCACGACTGATTACGTATGTCACTGTAGTTCTAGGTGTGATGTTTTCGGTTAGTGGATGTGTGCCCCACATCTCTCCCCTTCTCCAATGTTGCTCTGATGGCAGTGCCGTAGCACTGATTCTCTTCTTACTTTGGTACTGGTGCAGGCTGGGAGTGACTTCTGTTGAAGTCTGTGGCATTTAACTGTGGAATAAAATACTGATGCAAGATTCTGAAACCTTTTTTAAAAAAAGATGAGGAGAAAGGACTTTTGCAATCTGTAAAAGCATACCGGTGTCAGATAGTGTCACTGTCAAATAGAAAAGATAGGATGAAGTTAGTATGAAGCAGGCAATACATTTGAACACGTACAATGATATTTAATGCCTGGAGGCTTGTTACAACAACCTGAAAACTTTATGGTCTATAACCTTCTTTCCATAAGATTATATAGAACAATTTGTTGGTTTGTGTGCAACAAAACTAATGAAGCTTCAATATGGGTGCATGTCCTATATCCTAGCATTCTGCTGTCACAATAGGTCCCGTTCTCATGACGTCTCCCAAAATACCTGCTCCCATCCCCTCTGTTTCCCCATGAAATATCTCGAGAGCTTTCTTTGCATTTCCACTGCCTGTTTACTTGGTCAAGAGGTGGCACACAGTGTGAGGCTCCTTCCATGGTGATCAGCCTGTGATTTCCATGAGCCCTTGGGCCTCTGTAAGGGATCACTTTAAGTGGCTGTTGAGTTTCAGTGTTGACTGTGGAGAGCAGTCAGATGAGGAGGTAGCATGCACACCTCATTTCATTAGGAAGCTAGACTAAAAGTCATGACCTAAACAAACAGATTTGAAAGAACGCAGAGACCATATCTGTAGGTAACGCCGTTAAGTCATTTGTTGTTCGTCTGCAGCAGATGGACTTGTCCGAAAGGCTTGGAATTGGGGCTGATCTCTTCCGTCTGTCTGGTATCAAACTCAGGGTGTGTTTGTTACCAGCCAGCTTGTTGATATGTTTGTATATCTCCTGATCAGGAGAACAGAAAAAAATAAAAAGTAGCCATGGCTGGGTTTTGTTGTAGGATGTATTTTTTGTGGAATTGTCTGGAGTCCTGAAACATTCTTCAAAACTTCAGTATTTCTTTTTCCCATCTTGAATATAATCTGGAGATAAACAAATAATAGGGCAAATTGCTATTAAAGTGGGGGAAAATCTTGACAGCAATACTTATTAGGCAGAGGAATAGTCTCCCAAGGGAGGTGCTGGAAGCTATCACTTAGATAGTATTAAAACAAGATTGGACAAGGCGCTGGAAAATCTATGTTAGGGAACAGTCCTGCAATGACAAAGGGAGGGACTGTATGACCTAATAGGATTTTTTCCATCTCTGATTTCTGTGATAATGTCAGGAGGACAGCTGCTTCCACAACTATTCTGTGCCCAGATTTTATAATATTGTCTCCTTTTCCAGCACTTGTTCGTTTTAAATGTTTATTCAGCAGAGGAGGAAGGGAGAGTCAACTAGTGTGAGTTACTGATAACTTATAAAAATACGTCTGTTTTTGTAGGTTGCCAGCCAAAACCAATGATGATTTAGTTACTTAAATTCTTCCTTCAGCCCATTTTCTGAGGACCAGATTCATTCCATGTAGTAAATGGGCTTAAACACGGGATAGCTGTGTTTATAATTCCTTTCTTGTTTCTTTCTTCTCCAATCCACCTTGGCTTGCCCCCAGTCTTCCAGGGAACTTGTACTGGAAAAGCTACAAAAGGGGCTGAGCAGCTAATTTACAGAGACCATAAATTCTTCTATTGCTTTTAAAGGCAACAGTTTTGCTGTTCTTTTTACAAAACCCCTGCCCACCAGTGCTTTTATGAGCAAGGTTTGCTTTGCTAGTGAAGCCTACAGAGCACTGTTTAATGCAACATCAGCCCTCTCCTAGAGATTGCTATGTTTTAACCCTGACCATATGTATTGATAAACCTACCATCTTAAATGGGGAGCAAGAGGTGGCTGGAGTTTACTTTATAGTTTGTCTTAAAATGCAGTGCAACTGAAAACCTTAAGAGAGAAAAAAGGCTTTATTTTAGTGCCTATGCTATAGCTTTGTTGCTAATCCAGCAATAGCTGAAATCATGCAACAACACAGAAAATAAACACATTTTAAAATAACAAGCTGTTGATTTTTATAACCAGCCATTTCCCTTTGGTCGTGTTGCAATCTATTTCTCTGCATTTGGCACTAAAAATACCTCTTTCTCTCTTTTTCTATCACAAGCAGTTATTTATTAATTAAAATCTCAACTTGTGCTAATGAGCATACCATAAAAATAGACAAAATAAGCTTAATTGCCTTTTCTCTAAAAATATACTGTATTTTGCATGATAATCCAGACCCTGATACAAACCCCTTTCAATCAAGAAAACGCTCTCCATTTGCTTCATGATTTTTTAATCAGTCTTGTAGCTGTGTTTCGCTCGGAGGAAGCGGAGGTGGGTTGCCTGCCTCCAGTCCTTCCCACACGACAGGCCGTCCAGAGGCTTGGAAGGCTGTTGAGGTGCTTGGAGGAGCTGTGTGACCGCCAGTGACGCTTCCTCGTCCCCTCCTGGGGAACATGCCTGGGTTTCCTTAACACCTGATACTTAGAAACTTTTATCTCAATTCCAGCACCTCTCTGTTTTAAAGTGGTCTGTGTACAGTTGCTAATTCTTTGGATACAGATTGATTTTTAGCCTTTTTTATCTTCTCCCCTTTAATTGATGAACTCGAGGGAGAATTTATAGAGAACAGTCTTACTTCCTCTCAACTTTTATTTTGCAAAACTGAATTAACTGAATTCTCCTCTGCTCATAAGGTCAGCTCCAGGCTCTTCTGGTGATGCTGGTGGACCTTCTCACTGTCTATTCCTAGCTGGAACCACCTTCTCTCAGCATGGATGGGCATTGTATGCCAGGCGATGCCTCACCACTACCTTGTGCAGTGATAGTAACCCCTTCCACTGTTTCTAAAGACAGTACTTCCCCTGGTATATCTCGCATTGAGTGTGTTGGTTTTTTCCTGTGGCTTTGTTAACATTAACAGCCCACAGTGAGATATGACTTGGGGGGGTTTCTCTTCATCTGCTGTTTCAGCTAATGCTTTCCTACATTGTTAGAGGAAGTCTTCCTACCCAAAGATAACCTCCCGGGGCTGTTTTGATGGTGAAGGAGGTACAGGCTGTGAGGAGGCCGGGTGTGATTGCTTGGATCGGTAACTGCAGCCCAGTGGTGGCCAGGCTGAGCTGCCTCGTAGCGGGCCTCCACGACCAACCGTACTGGAAGCTGATGGACAAGCTGGAGCTCCACCGCTACTGGCTG